TTTCCAACTGCAATATATTTGAACTTGACATCAGGGTAATTTTGGATGTTATCTCTAACCCACCTATTTGCAGCATTTCGGTCGGTGAGGGATTGCAAAGCATCATTAGGAACACCGAGGATGAGTTCAATATTGGTTCCCTTGAGGGCTCGAAGAGTAGCTTGATTTGGATCATAGATTCGCATCTTAGTTATGCCGTTGTTTCTGTAAAAGTTTACCACATCTTGCTCCGAGGGTAAATTGTCACCGAGTCTTCCATTGCACACACCTACTGATTGTGCATCTAATTTCCACCAAGTAAAATAAAATATTTAAAATGCAATAAATCTTTACTTAAAAACAATAAGGATAAAAGCTATAATTTTTTTTTACAAAAATAATGATAGATTACTTGACTGGTTGTTTGTGTCTGCTAGCAAAGGTCATTAGTCCGAGTCCTTATTAAGCTACTTTCGTCAAAATAAAAATAAAAATAAATAGAACCCAATATATTTTAAGCTATATAAAACATGAATTTTTCTAATAAAAGTAGGATTCGTGCTTTTGAAGAGCAAAATATTGAACATGGTGCTTCAAGCCAACTCAGTCACCTTAAATTTATATCATAACTTTAGTTTAAAGAAACATAGGGACACACCACAAAATATTACGATGACATATTTCAGGAATAGTTTTTTCAACTACGACGAAACCATGAAGTGGCGACACAGACCAATATCAATATATACCCCCATGTAGGTCCTCTCATGACACAGGTTGCGCAAGTATTCCCATATCCATACATATATTTGCATCTACCTACAAGTTCATTATATTTTATATAATACAAATGATACAAATAAACATAAATCGTATTTTTGAATAATTACTTTTGTAAAGATGGATTAAAGGAACGAAAAGAGAGACCTGCGAATGCGAGAAGGCTTGCAAGTAGGCCAACTAGTAGAAGTGTCGATGCCATAACTCTTGCTTTATGAAATTTGTCTTTGAGATCGAATCATATATATAATGGCCAGAATCCACACAATCACTATAATATCTTTATAGTAACCCGTCAAACATGTGATGAAAATTCCACAAAATGAGTTTTTTAAGTTGTGTCATTCTTTGAATCATTTTTTCTGATTCATTAGTGTTTTGGTCAAAAGCTTAAGGTCTTATGCCATTGTTATGTCAAAACGAACGAATTTATGACGCAAACCACCATATATTAAGCCAGGGACCTTGTTTCCAAACAAATAGTTTCGTCCTTTATCTTTTTCTTTCTCGACCCTAAAGAAATCATGTTACAACCAACCGAATGTAACGTTAAACCAAAGCAGTAGCCAACCATGGTAACGTTGTGCCCTATGTAAAGTTCTACAAATAGCTAGTTTTCAATCCTGATCTCTTGGATTGCATGCTATAACCCCTAGACATGAATTGTTACACTGTTTTGTTGATGTATAACAATTTCATCATTTCTTTATCTTTCTAAATGCTTCATTTTTTATGATAAGTCTTGTATTCCTTCAAATTCATGAAAAATCAAATAAAACACCCTTGATAGCATCATTATAAGTGTTGGTATACCACAAAATCATTATTAGATATGTTTGTATACAATACATGTACACAAACAACAAACAACAAACAGATTTATTCCATATCCATTTATGTAATCATACACCAAGATTCAAGTCATTGCCTCTTACACACATATATAGGGGGTTAATCAAATGAGAACTCGATAGTATGTGATAACTGTGAGATCCAATGTGAGATGATCATTTATTTGTATTAGTTTTATTTATTAAATATATATAATGGTAATTTTGTAGTTTGGATATTTTACATCTAGTTAAATTATTAATTGATTGAATCTGATGGTTACTTAATTAATATCAAGGAAAATTGACTTTAATCCAGTATTTGGAAACCTACAACCGCTCTTCCCCAGTCTTCAAAATCTTTCAACACCACCACTGTCACCGTCCTCCTGATTTCTCCTGCAAGAAGATGGTTGATTCTCAAATCAAAAGTTTGACTTTCAGGGCTCCTACATTTTCAGAGATCCAAGGTGGGGAAGATGATGCGAGACGCCTGAAGGGGATCCAATGGTGGCAGTCGCTTAAGCGATTGAGTATGTGACGCGGGTTTCAAGGGGAGAAATTGAGGAACGATGGAATTGGAATTGGAATTAAAGAAAAGAAGAAGAGGGGTAGGCAAAGGAGTTGGTGTAGGATCTTTTAAGGTAGGACTGTTACATAGCCTTCTAAACAGGAAAATGTTCATAGAGTAGGTTGAATTTAAGGTTTGTATCACACAATTTTTGATGAGAATTTATACAAAAATTATGTTGCCTGAAAACCAAAACATATATGGTCTCAACTCATGTCTAGTATTGTAGTGTGTATCATAGTCAGTTTGTGTTTCACTGTTTAGAAGTTATTGGGTATCACAGCAATATACGTTGGAATAAGTTTGGCCGAAGAGAGGAGGGAAGAGAGAGATTTACAAAAAGACTAATTTACCACTAAATATTAATCCATAAAATTATTTCTATTTGAAAATTAATGAATAATTATCAAAATTAATATTTTTAATAACAATAATGTATAGTTGAGATTGAATCTTACGGTTATCACAAACAACCGATATAACCCTCTATATATGTGTGTTGATTTAGTGGACAAATGCAATTAATCTTGTTGTTGACCTATGGTTTGTTGCTTAGATCACTACATAAATGGAATATGAGGTCATTTAAGTGTCGAGTGGCTTACTAACAACCCATCCTATATAAATAGAAAATAAGAAATAGAAAATAAGTAATGTGAATTTCTTAAAAGCTCCATAGAGTCGATAATCAATAATTTTCATTGTCATTTTAAATTGATTTAAAAGCTAATAGATGTTAAGAATGAACGTTAACGAGTCTATAAAAGAGGTGGTTGTTTGATAACCTGTTATTTTGGGCTTAAGGTGTTAAAAATAAATCACATATATTTTATAATATTTATCCATATATTTTAAATTAAAGGTCATCTGATATATAATTGAAATTTTCCATATGACGGATTAGTTGTTTTTTCCAACTTTAATCTTTAATGGGTTCGACATTGAGTTTAAAATCCACCCAAATTCATCATTTTCTCAAGTCAATTTAGCAATAACAATTAACGTTATAATCTCCTTATTGAAAAAAAAAATGAGTTATTGGACAATTTATCAAGTAAACAAACTACAACTTAATAAGAACAGATGATCTCACTATGTTGCCACCTCCATCACTACTATCGTCGTTGCTACTACCACCACCACCGTCATCACCGCCCTTGTCACCACCACCACTATCTACACTACTACCACCTCCACCCCCCCCCCCAAATCACAACTCAAACATGATTAAATTTCATTCCAATTCCTTAAGATTCCGATTCCTTTGACAAATTCTAATTCTGATAAATTCCATTCTATGAAACAACCACCACCTAAAAGTCTAAAAACTACTAGTCATTTCATATCAAACTAGTATAGAGACGGAGACGA